TCACTGAGGCCAGGCTATCTCTTGTCTAGGTAGGTTCATAGCTGGTGTATCAACCTAACCAGTTCAAATGAAGTCTGTGCTACAGAAGTAACATACTTTCAGTGAGGAAGTTGAGTCAAGAAGCATCCCCAGTTTGTAAAGCTAATCCTTCAGAGAAATGCTGGACACATCTAATACAGGATCAGTCATTCTTAGCATCCAGCTTTAAATAATCACACTTTCATCCAAAGTGTATTTTACTATCTTTTATGCAGCAGGCAAATTTCTTCATGCCCTTGCATGCTTTGAATAAATTTTTATGATAATCTGTCCCATCTATCCCATTTAGTTGGATCTCCTTTTATATTCACTCATTCCATTGTCTCTTTTATCTCCTGTTCTCATTCTGTTTCAGATCATGTTTTGGTCTTGTTATGTTTTACTGTGTTTTAATGCTTTTATGGTTAAGTTACCTTGAGGCTATGTTGTGAAAAGCAGCATTAAATATCGGGATCACATGTGGTCCTTAAAAGTTGGCCTCAGGCTTCCTGCTGTGGAGTTCCTCATGGGAGGGGGGGAGAGAAAAAGGTGTAGACTGGTATTAAACTGGTAAATTCCAATTTATATATAGTAGCACATTTAGTAAAAATACTATAAGTTAAGTAGAAATAGAGTACTTCTCACCAAACTGAAAACAGCTAACCTGCATACCTTCTCCATTGAGATATAAATTGTGGATGAGTCAAGGCCCTGATCACCCTTGTTATGGGTCCTTAATAAGAGAGAAAACTTTCAAATAAAAGATTGTTCTCTTCAAATAGATGACTGTCCTGTAAAAAGAAGAATTCATAGTCACCTTACTTCCTCTTATGAAGCAACCAAATTATTCTTTTTCTGTATGGGGTGTTGATGTCTTTACATTGTCTCTATTTTCCAACTGGAACATTCCTGTCATTCTACGTAATTTCTGGATCATGTTTTCCATTAATATAAATTAACATAGCTACACACTGGCTTCAAAAGTGGCTTACCCTAGCTGAACATCTGTTTCCTTATGCACGTCTCATTTCGTCTTCAGGAACCCGGTAAGAGAAATGGCACATGATTATAATCTTAAACAAATCTAGACAACAGAATATTACAGCCTCCGAAAACCATGTTCTCTGACAGCCCTTTCAATGCTATTTTAACTGAAATATTATAATATATCAAACTGAAATGGAACCATCAGTTTCTTTCAGGTTTATTGCCTAAATTTTATTTCACATGTCAACCTGCAAATATTGTTTCTCCACAATAAGCGCTTGTAGCTTAAAGAATATCTTTGACGAGTAAAGAGGTATGGTCTTTAAGTTTTCCTCTTCTCACTACTGCTTTACCTTCTCATCCTTGTCAGTTTCTTGGGACACAGTTATGGCACCATGACACCACTTTAAGAGCCATGGCTGCATCCTATGGAATATTGGGGTTAATAGTTTGGTCAGAAGCATCAGAGAAGTTTAACTGGCTGAGGATGCTAAGGACCCATTCCCATGAACTGCAACTCCCCTATCCCTGAAAATTGCAACAGGAGTCAAAGTGGAATGCTAACACTCTAATAGTGTAAAAGGACCCCTAGAAACTAATTTCATGCTATATTTGAGAAGGCAAGGGGAATTCATGATCATTCTCAGACTGTTTCAAAATGCTGCAGCTGAAGAAAGGGAAGTCAGGTTTCTTTATTTTCACTCAGAAGGAGAAACATCTAGAATCCCAGAACCTGTTTTAACACAAGTAATTTCTGCTGTAGTTCCTTAGAAGCAGGGGTAGGCAACCTTTCCCCTTTAAGGGCGGAGGGACTTCAGCTCCCAGAATCCCAGGAGCTATTGGCCAACATGGGACTATTGGCCAACATGGCTGAGGCTTCTGGGAGCTGAAGTCCTTCGGCCCTTAAAGTTGAAAGGTTGCCTACCCCTGCTTAGGAGTACCGTAGTTTTTCTGGAATAAGCTGGAATGCTCACATTAAAACAGAGCTTAAATTGAAAACCTTGAGTTTGTTATTGTTTTAAATAGGTTTGATATAAGATACAGATTTAGGAACAGATTTTTGAAAATCTATCATACAATTCAGACAGAATAGTGAGCTTCTCACACCACACTCTTAAAATCGGGCTAGTTCACTTTAACAGCTCTGACTGCCTCCTGTTTCATTTTGGGGTTTGTAGTTCCATGAGGCTTACAGGCTCTCTGGCTGAATATTCTAAATCCGTCTTCCTAAACTACAAGTTCCAGAATTCAATAAGAGGCAGCCAGAGCAGTTAAAATGACATAGCCCCATTATAAGAGTGTAGAGAGGTCTTGTAAGATTGAGGTAATATGGTCAGCACTTGGAAAACTCATTTTTAAAAGCAATTTGTTTCCATTACTTTTTGTAGTGTTAGGAAAAGTATTGGTGATCATTAAAATATTTTAAAGGCAACTCTTTGCTTTTCTATTACTTTAAAAGAAAAGAAAAATCTTAGAAGTGATGAAAAAGTGGAATAAAACTCTTTAAAAAATCAGTTTGAAAGACCTTGTTGCCCAAAAAGGTGGGGTGACTTGGGATCCCCACAAATTGTGTCAGTATCTTCTTAAATGTTTGGGGAATTGCTTTGCACAATGGATGCTTGCAAGAGGTTGAGTAACCTGGAGGATCATTTCCACCACTATTTATACCAGTACTAATTGTAGGCAGACTGAATGAATAAAGAAGGTTTTATATTAGAAATAGGCAAGAGTGCTCAGAAACACAAACTAACAATTCACTCTAAGGTCCAAAACAAACTGCAGAAGTAATCCAGTTTGAGACCGCTTTTTAAACTGCCCTGGTGCAATGTTAGGAAATTCTGGGAAACTGTAGTTTTGTGAGACATTTAGCCTTCCCTGTCAGAAAGCTCTGGTGCCACAATAAACTACAGGACTCCCAAATACTGAGCCAGGGCAGTTAAAGCAGTCTCAAATTGGATTATTTCTGCAGTGTGTTTCAGAGCTATGACACCATACAAGGTTAACCAAAATAGAGGTATGGAAACTGGGTAGTGGAGGCTGAAGGTTTTAGAGGGGGTGATATTTCCCAGTTCTGCAGAAGAGTCCACAGAAAGTGAGGTGTGGCTCAGATAGCATCAGAGAGTGACACAGCAAGTGAAAGAGACCCTTGGTGCATATATGAGGCCAGTGTGGGAACTGATATTTACAAATGATTTCCTAGCCTCCAGGGGTACTTGGTGATATCTTGCAGTGCAACAAAGATGGAATGGTCTTTTCAGTGAATCAACAATGAGATTTGAGAATAACTGATGGCTTTAACTTCAGATTAACAAAAGCATTGACTTGATTTAGGACAATCCCAAAGTAGATGGATAGGGACGTTGGCTGGGAACAAGGCAGGGGGTAAGTAGATAGAAGATACTGTCTTACTAGCTTTAGTGCAGTAGGATCATCTTTGTCTCAAGTTCAAGATGATATGCATAAAGCCAGGGAGAAGAGGATGTGATCAGCTAGCCAATTTAACCTTCACCTAACCTTCATCTATTTTCAGGTCAATGTTCCTTTTCCTTGGGAAACTTCTCTGTCTTTCAAAGGTCACCATGAAGTCTTAAAACACGCCTGGCTCTAGATATGAAAATATGAAGAGCCCCATATACAGCATATAGTACTAACATCCTCTTTAAATGCTCTTTAAAAGTAACCCAAAATAGATGACCACCCCCAAGCTCTAAGGCAATGGTTTTTATTTCTACTAGTGGAGTGCAAATGTCTGTCTGTTGTCTTGAGGAGCAAAGACTGCTCACTTTCTTTCCCACTTCATCTCCAAGTACACAACATCAGCTAGGAGCTCAAGGTGCCTGCCTGCCTGCCTCTGCTCAGCTATGGAGTTACACCTGGGGCATTGCAGATGCCCTTGCACCCTGCAGGAGGGGAAGAACAGCTCCATCCCTCAGTGTACGGATGTCTTGTCTTCCCCAGGTGTGTGAGGGCAGCCAAATAGTGCCAGGTTCATCCCCATAGCCAGACAGTGGCCAGGAGGCTGAGGCTGTTGTGCCCATGAGCCTTGGTTGCAACTGCAAACCCAGAGCAAGTGGCATGGTACAAGGAAATGCAAGACACTTTCTTCCTCAACGTCAACAGTAATGCATAGGCTGTTGTAGCCAAAAGGTCACCAAAAACATTTTACTCAAAATGTCATTCTCTTTTGCAATGTAACTTTGTTACATCTTCATTACAGAAGAGAAAGACATACCACATCACAGATTACTACCTTACAAGATAAGTCATTATTTCCAAGCCCTGAGTCTGTGAGTGTGAACCTTGTACTAGGACACAGATGGGAAGTGTGCAACCTTGGATTGCACCTCTGAGTACTTCTCACCCTGCTGGCTGAGGGCGCTGTAAGTTGCAATTCAACAGCATCTGTAGGGTTATATATTTCGTCCTTTTGTTGTCAAGGATGACTCTAACCCAAAGTCTCCTCTCTTTTTTTTAAAAAAGGGAGAATTAGTTGGCACCCAGAAACTTCTATAGGTCCAATTGTTAAAGTATGTTATTTTTCTGACTGCCTGTTTTATAGCATCTGTGCCTAATACCAAAAGGTGTTGTTTTTCCCTTGGGGAGAAATACTTACTGATGGTGAATTGAAATATAAATGGGCAAATAAAAGCTTTGGGAGAGTGATTGTAATTGTGAAAATGTCATGGGTGGAAAGTATTGAAGAGATCTTGGACTGAAATTACCAGATAAAATATGCCTATATGCAGTATTTCCTGCTTATACTGCATGAAGAAAGCTACAGCAGGGCAAGCACATTAGGCTTTTGTGGCATGTAAGTGAATATGGAAGCATCCTAACTGCAGAGATTGTTGTTGCTGTATATACCTTCAAGTCATTTCTGACTTATGATGATCCTAAGGCAAACCTATCATGGAATTTTCTTGGCAAGATTTGTTCATAGGGGATTTGCTTTTGCCTTCCTTTGGGGCTTGCCAAAGGTCACCCAGTGGTTTCTATGGCCAAGCAGGGATCTGAACCCTGGTCTCCAGAGTCTTAGTCCAACACTCAAACCATCATGCCACAAAGAGTTAGTTTTTGCACTACAACTCTCAGAATTTGGCTGGGAGAATTTGGTACTCCCCCCCAAAAGGCTGTTTCAATATACTCTGCCTAACTGTTGTCTTGAACCAAATATTTATTCATTGTAAAATTATGTTCTCTCTTCAAAACTTCTATCAGATAGCTTGCTAAAGACTAGAAATGTACATTTAACTAAGGAATAAAATAGACAGAAAGACCCAGGTTCAGAAAAACTGAGAGAACAATTTTCATTCAGAAACTTTGAGTTGTCTAAGGATGTTTAACCTCCTGGTTATAGTTATATGATAAAATGTTTACACTGAAAGGGAGTGCTCATACAAAACAGTGCCTTGAAACTGAAGCCTATGAAGGTACTGCATGATTATTTGCTATGGAGTCCAATTTTAACTACGGTATCCATTCCCAAGTGAGGTTCTTGTCCTCTGAGTGCAGGAAAATCCCATTAGCATTCCTGGGAACTTCGCCAGTGCATGGCGTTGTGCGTGCATGGAATAAACAGTGCTGTTTCTACTTGAAAACAGTGTTGCTTAGAGAGTGCTCTGTAAGTTTTTTAAACAGCTGGAAAACATGTGCAACATCAGTCTCCCAAGCACCACAACACCCTTTGTTTATGTGGAGCATCAGGCTCTTCTTTTCAGCTTGCCAGGGTGGGGCCACACCTAGAATAACAGAATTGTATAGAATCACGGAAGAGTTGGAAGAGACCACAGGGGCCATCTAGTCCAACCCTGTGCCACATGAGAGTACACATAATCAAAGCACTCCTGACAGCCTCTGTTTAACAACCTCCAAAAAAAGAGACTCCACCACTGTCCGAGCCGAGGCAACATGTTTCTCTGTTGAGCAGCTCTTACTGTCAGGAAATTCTTCTGAATGTTTTGGTAGTTTATTTCCAGTAACCAAATATTAAACCAAAGTTGGAACAGTTACAATTTGGACTACATCTTCCAACCAAATCAGCCATTAGCTGTAGGGAGATAGCTGTCCATTTGGGGAGTTCTAACAGTAGCTTTTCCAAGCTCTAATTCAGCTGAACTTCTAGCTGCTGGAGCAATAATGTCAAAACAATTTTAAATGGTTATTCTGGATTTTCTTTAAAATATATGTACTCAGAGCTGAAGTAAAAGAGATATAGCCTTTCTATTCAAAGCACAGTAGACTTCTGTCTGTTCCTGGATATGGTCAAGCATTTGGCCACTACTGTTTGCCACATTTGTGCTTCAAGGAATATTTTTTTAAAACTCTCCAAAGTTTCCATGCCTTTCATTTGGGCAATGGAACAAACAAGCAACTGGTGGTTTCCCTCAAAGATTTGCAACTGCCTGTGGTTTAATTTTCAAATGGCATAAGCCACATTGCTATGGTAGATATGGCAAAAATCATCTCAAAGCATGTTCTGGAGGAAGTTTATTGATCAGGACATTAAGCAAATATCTTGCTAGCTCTAACAGGTGTCTTTCAAGGCCAGTGTTACATAGATTTATGCTCTCCTGCACTAAAAGATCTATAAACCATGTAGTAGCTTGTAAACAGTGATTCCAGCCAAAAAAAAAAAGTGGCTTTGGTGATACTTATTGCATGCCAGTACCTCCAGACTGGAACTGCTATGTTCCTCAACACAGTTAGAGCGTCCCTTTTCAGAGATGCTCAATGTGCTTGCAATCGCGCTAGTCCCTTGGTGAGAAATATCGCTGCCAAAGTAGTTGCAATATTTACAATCACATGGTGTCAGTGACTCCTTCTCTCCATCTGTCCCATCTTCCCCACACCATTCCCAAATAGGATGACTGCCTTTTTTTAAAAATCTATTTCTTTAATTTTTTAAAAAAAATCAGTCGCAGTAGCAGAGCTCAAGAATTGCATGAAAAAGTTAAGATAAATAAAAATAAATTTTACAAACCCAAAGGCATGTTGAGCAGGGCATAGGGCAGGGAGGCATGGTTGAGGGGAAGTCAAGAAGAGAGTGCAATGGCAGCAGCAGGCCCAGTCATATGACTGCAAAGATATTGACTGTTCTGAAAGCAATATGTTTCCATTTTTTAAAAAGTGACATGATTAGTGTGTCAGCAGGACTCATGTGGTAATGACTTGAGTATCCAACCACTAGGGAGATACATCAGCAGTGACAACAGACAGAACTTTTGCAATGGTAGGTAGTGTCATTAACCTGGAATGTCCTTTACCAAGATGTATGCTTAGCACCAATTTTTCTGTTATTCCAACATCACATAATCTTTTTATGCAGACATATCCACTGGTTTGTATTGCTGCAATTAGTTCTCACTATAAATGTCTTTATTACTTACAGGTTTCTTATATACTTAATAATTTTATGGTTCTTTTGACATTGTTATTAGCTACTCTAGTATTTTTATAAAGAAGTAAATACACTTCTGCTTCTCAGCAGTGTTTCCCTGAAGAAGGTTTGGTCCTGAATCACTCACTTTTTTTTTTTTTAATGAACAGTCTAGGAAGGAAATAGCCTTTGAATGGCTAATTCTAAATGCACACACATCTAAAAGGTTTCTGGGGCTATGATTGACCATTTTAGTGGAATTCTTTTTTCAGTGTGGGAGAACTTGATATGGGGCTGAGGGCCACACTGGAACCCCTGGCAAGGTTCACCTCTCCCTTGGAACCTTGATGCTTTGGTATGACTGTGCACACAATTCACATGGGATTTTTTTTGTGGGTTTTTTCGGGCTGTGTGGCCATGTTCTAGAAGAGTTTCTTTCTGACGTTTTGCCACCATCTGTGGCTAGCATCTTCAGAGAAAGCCTACGACTTCACAATTCACATGGGAATTTCTCAGTGCTAAGAGGAAAAATTACATAGGGATCAGCTTTTCCTTTAAAAGTAAGCTCTGACATAATTGAAAGGGATATTCATGTGGGATCTAAGCCATTCAAAAGTTTTTCAGACTCTTCTGTCTTGATTTATGTTGGGAGGGCTGAATGTTTCTTCATGCTATGGGATGTTTCTGTCCTTGGCATCTTTGGCTTTAACCTTGGAAGCTTTTCATCCTGTTAGAATACTGATAAAACAAAGATACTGCAGCTGCTTGTAATGGGAGAAGCAAAGCTGTCTGAGTAGTACTTTTTATTGGAGCAAACATGTGCAAGTTTCAAGCCTCAAGGTCATCTCCAACCATAAAAGCAAAAGGGTGGGGAGGGATGACAGTGAGCACATTCAGGCTGTGACCGGGAATAAACCTCATTTCAAGGTATGGCACTGCCAAGAAGGTGCAGACCAATGGCTAAATTGCTGGACCTGAGTCCAGGTTGTCTAAATAGAAAGGAAATGAGCAGCTCCTCAAATTATTCTACACTGCCTACTTAGTTACAAATTCAGAATTAGGGGGTCATTCACAATCTTTTTCTTTTTTTTGCCCCAAGGAGATGTGGATCACTAAACTGATGCATATCGGATTTGTTGTTCCTATTTTGTTTTGTGCTTGCAAATCTCTTTGAGTCATTGTAACCCCTGTGTTATTCACACGTGCCATCATTTCAGGTTAAAATGAAGCTACTTCCCTTCCTTTCAAGAAGCAATAATGATACAGAGCAATCCAAATCATTCAGAAGCTTATTCACACTGCCTATGATGCAGATCTTTCAGGAAAACCTGGGGGGGTGGAGGATGGTATAGAATATCCCAGGTTAAGTGAGGGTTTTGCCAGCCCTTCCCCCCAAAAGTGCATTGAGTGCATTCAGGACATGAGTGAACAACAAGGATTCAACCTGGATTCATCCCAGATTCATCCCAGATTATTTTCTTAGTGTGAATGGGGCCTTGGAAATGTTTCTTGCCCCAACTTCAAAAGCCCACATTAACAAGAAGCTAAGAAAACTGAGAGGTGAAGGTCTGTTCAGCTGGCAATTGGGGCACAGAAGGATAACATTTCCACTCCTTCCAGTAAGCAAGACTAAAGGAATTGCATCAGGGTCCTGCTTCTGGTTGTCCTAGTCTTGCTTGCAGATGAAGGGAATGGAAATGTCATCCTCCTACATTCTGATCCCCAACTGAACAGACTCCCATCTATCAGTACAGCTGCTGCCTGGTGAAGTAGGTTTGGAAGGGCATTTATGGTTTTGCCAGGGATAGGCAACCTTTCCCCTTTAAGGGCTGAGTGACTTCAACTCCCAGAATCCCAGGAGCTATTGGCCAACATGAGACTATTGGCCAACATGGCTGAGACTTCTGGGAGCTGAAGTCCCTCGGCCCTTAAAGGGGAAAGGTTGCCTACGCCTGATAGTGCCAGAATTGCAACTACACAGTTGCATCACTAGGGTTGGTGTCATCCCCATGAAGTAAACTCATGTCACCACCAGTCAGGTAGTCACTCCAGCAGAGACTGGTGAGAACTGCCCAAGCTGCCTGGTACACTCCCACAGCCACCCCCTGCCATCTGCCATGACTATGGGCAGAGGCGAGCTGTGCTCCCCAAGGTGGAGCCCTTTCACCGAGTCCATCCTTGGCTGCAATTGGCCTGCCATGGCTGCCACTTCCCATCTGGGCTTCTCTGCAGCCTTGGGCTCTCTTGCTTGAGAGAGCTCAAGGCTACAGAGAAGAACAGATGGACAGCAGTGACTGCAGTGAGCTTGCAACCAGCTCGCCATAGTGTCACTTCCTGTTTGGGCTTCTCTATAGCCTTGGGTTCTCTTGGCCAGGGTTGAGAAAACCCAAGACAGTGGAAAAGAATGGATGTGAAATGACAGCAGCTATCTGCGGTCACCCCCTGACAACTGGCTGGGCGGGAAAGAGAGGCAATGGCATCAGGAAGGGGAGAAGTCTGTGGCATCACTGCTGCTGCCACCGGCTGCATCTCTCTTTCCCTGAAGAGACTGCTGGATAGCAGCAGCACTGCACACACACCACAGCAGCTATAGCGGGTGGAGGGCCTAACCAGATGTCACCTTCCCCCCACTGAGTCATCACCCGGTGCATTCCATACCTCCTGCACCCCCCTAGTGTCCCTCCTGAAATG